TTTTGGACCACATGGGCTCAAATCTTTCAAAATTACTAGACTAATCTAGTATATCGATAATATACTTTCAATCTTGGCAAAACCGTATTTACATATTTACAAAAATTAGCACTTAATTTAAGTTTTATTAAGATTTTTAGCACTTAAGATATTTTGAAATATTTATTATTGTCCTTTAGCGTATATGCCGTATTTTACAGGGGCTAAATTATCATGTAAAAAATAGAGAGTGCTACTATAGTACTATTTAATAACCCTTTTGGAAAAGTGATAAATAATAAATATTAAAAAATGCTAATTTGTGCAAAGTTCGCAATTAATTTCTTGGTAGGTTTGTTGTTTTGATTGCAGATTTGTTATCAGTTGGTACATTTGACGACTTAAAGGTCGACTTTTTGGTACAACTTAACTTTCTTTTGGTAGATTTATTTCAATTGATGGTAAATAAATATTACAAATGAGATACTTATTTCTTCTCGTGGCAGAGTTACCAACAATCAATAATAACTAGATGGTTTATTTATCGTAATGATAGATTTAGTTTATTGACAGTATATTAAATTTATAAATTATCTTGGTATATTTATGTTTAATTGTGGTAGATATAAAGCTGGAAAAAATCCTCGTCACTTTGTTTTATAATGGTTGTAAATTTATTATTAGACACAACATATTTAGATGGTCATAGATATAAAACATGTAAAAATCTCAATCACTTTATTTAATAATGATGGTAAATTTATTATTGATATGCAGAATTTATATAAATTGGTATTTTTATAGGTAATAATGGTATATTTATTAAACTAAATTTATGCTCTGTGTATTACACAGATTTTAATTTTTAAACATCTATTACTATGAATCATCAAACAGTTAATCATAATATTTTTCTTTTTTATATTTTTATATTTTTAATTTTATTAAACTTTTTCTTATCTTCATATTATCCTTGTTATCTTCATCTTCCGGTCTCCTTCTTTATTTTTAATATTTTTATTTTTCTGATTTTCTATTAATTTTGTATTCTTTTTATTTCTTTTCTTTATCATTATATATATATATATATATATATATATATATATATATCTTTCTCTCCATTAGATTCAACTTTTACTTCTTCTTTTTCTTTTGTTTTTTTTTTTCATCTTCTTTTAGTTCATCTTCCTTTACATTCTTTTATTTATATTTTGATTTTTCTTCTTCCTCCTATTTTTTATTTTCTTGTTTAGAAGATTTTTTGTCTTCTGTGAAGGCAAATCTCCTACAAAGCCAGAATGCATGTGAAGGCCTGAAAAACATGATGGAGGTGTGTTTTCTGATGGCTTTTTGACGCTCAAGTCAGAAAACAGTGAAAAAAACCACAAAGTGGCTAATCGGAGAGAGGAAAGAAATCGGAAAACAAGAGAAGGAAAGTGGGCCGAGCGTTCATGAGAAAGGTAGAATCGACTCAGACCTTGTAGTGGTGATTAGCTTTTTGAGGTGAAAAGATAAGAAATGAAAGAGATTGTGGGTAGAAATACTCCACGGTTTAGAAACCGCCGTGGAAAAGAATAGAAGAGATGGTCGAAGTAATGACCAGAAAGTATAAGATGCTCATGCTTAAGGATCACAAGTATCTAAGGAGATAATATGAACCTTAAAATCGCGAAAAAGTGACCATTTCCTCATTGGAAGAACAAATTATTTATTGGATTTTACCTGACGTAGGTTAGTATACCGGGTCAGTCTTTATGTCGTGAGTCGGTCGTGTCGGTCCTCGATCTAACTTGACTGGATCTGAATCTTGTGCTTGCGTCATGCTTCTGACAGTCTCACCAACTTGACTTGATCCGAAATCCCCTCTTTCTACTTCATCCTGCTGTGGACAGGGGAACCTCCCTCGGGGCCTCGACGAATGCTCCTTTTGTGCACCTTCAGGCTTTCATGGATGAGCAGGGAGACCGTCTGGGAACGTCCTTAACCGTGATAACTCTCGTCTCCTCGATCCCAAGAGACAGCGGTCCGCGGAAAGGTTCTATGCGATAGAGGACCGTCCCTCCCATTTCTTTGATTATTATTATTTTTGTACTGCCAATACTTGTCGTCGTGTGTTCCCCTACATGTATGTATTTTCGCCATACGCTTCTGTCTGTTTCCGTCTCGAGCATCTTGGATCTACTCCATTCCTGCTTCTTGCTTGTACTTTATTTTTGTTTAGCTCTATTTATTTTTACCTTCTGGAGTTTTAACTGCCCCGGAATCTCCCCATTCTTGGGGGCCCATCTTTACTTTGTGAGGGCTTGTCCTCATTCTTTTCCTTCTTTGTCCACGCCTGTTCTGTCTTGCTCCGGGAACCTTCTCTCTTCCCGCTTAATCTGGGAATCCTACCCAGCGTCGCAACCCCGACATTGAAGCTTTCATCTCACTGATCTAAAATTGCCCCAGTCGTTCTGCATACTTTGCTGGTTCTCCGACCACCCAAAAGGTGGCTATTTTTTGTTATTTTGCCTACATGCATGGGAAGTGTGATTTCCCCTTCCGCTCCTGTGGGTTCTCTCCCCGTTCTGCTTGAATCCTTCTTGATCAGGGGACACTTTCGATTCCTTTCTGATTCTCCCCAGTCTCCTTGGAGATGAGGTTGATGGGGCTGGTCTAGTCCACCAGAACTCGTCTGATCCACTTCCTGCCTATCATCAAGGTGACCATGACGCCGGACCTCAGAGATGTTAGTTCTGACTCTGAGGAGGTTCGCGTTTACGTGACCCTTTGTTGCCGTTTAAGTGACCCTTTGTCGCCGTCTTCCCTATTTTTTCTGATGCTGGATTCCTCTTAATTCGCCCATCGCCGTCTGTTTTCCTCGCGTCCTTATCTTGCTTTGTCAGCATCTTCTGCGTCTTTTCCGAAAACAAGTGTCATGCAAAGGGGTGACAAACTAATGTGAGCAGCTCTTCCTGAAGAAGGAGAAATCACTTGTACTATGCCCGCCAGATCGATGATACCCGCACCAGGGCTTGAACTCGTCCATCGTCGTCTGGTCGTCCCTACTTTCGTCTATGAACAAGCGCTGATGTGGCACCCACGCATCCACCTCTTCCCATCTTGTACTTCATCCTATCAGGGTGGCGACTGAACAAGCTCAATGGACACGTTCCTCCGTCTGCTTACTCGAATCTTTAGCTTGGTCTGGTTGTCCCTTCTTACGATTTTTGGGTTGCCCTCTTGTTCTCTCTCTTTATTTTGTCGCTAGAACTCGCTTGGCTCATATTCTTCCGGGGCAGCGGCGCTCTTCTATGTTTTTTGGTTTCCCTTCCAAATTTCCTCTATATCTTGCCTTCCTTCGAACTTTTAGTATCAGCGTCATTGCCCCCAGATCTGGGGTCCTGACAGTTTCCCAACCCGAGCGGGGAAGTTTTACTTGGAGAATATTGCCCTCCTCCTTCTAGCGCCAAATTGTTTAGGGGATTTTTGGTCCTCTGCGGGGAGCAAGTCTCCTGAAAAACCATAAAGCATGTGAAGGCCTGGAAAACACGATGGAAGTGGGTTTTCCGATCGCTCTCTGATGCTCAAGTCAGAAAACAGTGACAAAGACTAAAAAGTGGCTAATCGGAGAGAGAAAAGAGATTGGAAAACGAGAGAAGGAAAGTGGGCCGAGCGTTCCTGAGAAAGGTAGAATCGACTCAGACTTTTTACTGGTGATTGGCTTTTTGAGGTGAAAAGATAATAAATGAAAGAGATTGTGGGTGGAAATGTTTCACTGTTTAGGAACCGTCATGGAGAGGAATGGAAGAGATGGTAGAAGTAATGACCGGAAAGTATAAGATGCTCAAGTTTAAGGATCACAATCAATATCTAGGGGGATAATATGAACCTTAAAATCGCAAAAAGAGTGTCCCCTTCCTCGTTGAAGGGATAAATATTTATAGGATTTGACCTGACTCGGATTAGTATACCGGATCGGTCCTTGGCTCGTGAGTCGATTTGGTCGGTCCTCGATCCGACTTGACTGGATCCGAATCTTGTGCTTGTGTCACACTTCTGATAGTCTCACCAACTTTTTTTGGCGTGTTCTGCCTGCTGCGAGACCGCTCCTTGGCACATCTCTTTCATCCCTAGTGTACGGTTCAAGTCGGCGGTTTAAACACGGTATGGCATTTGCTGAACCTCTGCTTTACCTCTGGCTTCTGCGAAGGCTCACTATTGTCTGACACGTATAAGAAAGATGCATTAAATGCCAATTTGTAGGTTTGTAAGGGTATAGGAAATTAAATCAGACCAAGGCATATTTATATTGTCGAATAGAGAGAAATTTGAACAGTGTTTCCCGCTTGTAGGATTATTCATACTTAGCTCGGATCCCTCGATACCGGGATCGGGCTGTCGGAGCTGTCAGGATTGTCTCCATGGCTGACTCCATTCTCCGGGTACCTGTGCGGATCACACTTCCTTATGTCCCGTCTCTTCTGGATTACCGAATTTAGGCCTAGAACATAGAGAATGTAACCTCTCATCCTTTTGACCATTCAGTTTCCGACCTTTTTGCTCTGACAACGTAGCTTGCGTTGTCAGATATGAAGAACTCGAGAACAGATGGTCTATCGTGCCGGACTTCCCGAATCCGAATGGATTCAAGGCCCGGTACGACTCAATATGAATCCTAATTTGACACAGAGGGCGTACTTGCAAAAAAACCACCATGTGCAAGCACACAAGTTCATCCAAACTATCTATATCAGCTAAAAGTTAATGATTCATTTAATTAATATACTTTGAAATAACTATTTTTTGTTTTATTTTAAAAAGAAAGACATTAACACCAAAACTAATAATTCAATTTAATCAGAGACTTTTATAATTTTTTTTATCTAAAATAATAAGAGTAAAAGCTAAAAAAAAAGAAGAAAAAATTAGAAAAAACGACAATAATAAAAAGGTCATTCCTATTATATAATAGATTTAGCCTTCAGTTGGTCTGCTTAGATTTGATGTTGCACATTGTGCTAAATTTGAAATGACGGCATATTTATTGATTATGTTTAGACTTATGGTTTATCCTAAAATAACAAATAACAATTTTGTCCTAGAATCAAGTCATTTTTCACACATGACACATCATCTTGACTCTGCACAGCCGTTAGCTTTATCGGTCTAAAGACTGATGGGGAGGGTATTTCCAGAGAGTCGGTTTCTCCTTTTATCACGAGCTTCAACATATTGTCCTCCTATATTAGTCCAGCAGCTAATATAGGTCTCCTTCGGCATGTTCTTCATGTTTTCTTGCTGTTCTTGTCTTATGTATAGCTGAAAATGCAAAGAAGTATATATAGGATTCTAAAATGCATGACAAGAAGAAAAGAAATTTAAATGCATGAAAATATCCCAAAAGCAATACAAACTGGGGTTACCAATGAAAAGAACCATTAAAAAACATGTAAAATGTACACTTATCAGTGACCCATTTTATCTATTTTAGATCATTTCTTCTCTTTTGGTTTTGCAAGAACCATTAGAGGTGAATTAGAGTGTAAGTGTCGCAACTTTATATAATTGTAGTGTTAGCTCGAGTGAATTTCTTTATAGGTTCTGAGGCTTTGGTTTAACAAACTGTGGTGGTTTATACCGTATCTTCAGACTGTTTCATGAACCTTCACAGCCCATAGCAGACATTAAGTTGTTGCCAAAATTATCATGTTTCAGTCTCATATTTTTTATTTTGTTTGCATCTGTTACACGTCATCAATAGGCACCCCAAAACTCTTTTAAAATGAGTATCGGCCAAGGTAAGTTATATATCTCCATACAGACCCAATAATATTTTCATATCCTAAGCCTCTCTATTTTTATATTTAAGTTGATTCACACCCTTCTACGAAATGTAGAACAAGCCCATTATTTTCTAGCTTCACATGTGATGTGATATTAAAACTTCTGTGTGCATCTTAAAACTTATTCTTCAACTAATGAATCGTCTTTGAAGTTAGGATCAACTAGGTCGAGACCGTTGCCTTCATTCCATCTTCTCCACACTTTTTGTTACATAAATTATATCGATCGGTGAACATGACGGGGTTGCTTGACAATTTAACTTTTAAAGCTGTGAAGACTTTCAAAGTTTTTAAGCAAAAAATAGTTAAACAAACTTTAATAATTCAAAAGTCTTAAAAGTCCTAAAAACCTTCCTAAAAATTTTCACACCCATTTTTTCTTTTATTTTTTTTTTGTTCACAGATCGACAGTTTTTATAGCTTACAAAATTTGACTTTTTTTTTAAAGTCACAGTTAGTTTTTGAAAGTTAAAGTTGTTAAAGTTAAAAGCTTACAGCTATTAATTAGTTATTTTCAACCACCCCCTATTATTTGTTGGGAAGACAGGGATATAAGATGCCTTGACAATCGGGCAACAACTACCCCGCCGCAATCAACTAGTACTTTGCACCCGCATGCAGGTTAGAACATTTTTTCTGGCAAGCCTAAATCCATCATCACAACACCTTATAACAAAAAAAAAGAAAAAAAAAATGAAATTATATAGACTTTCTATCTACAATAACAATATTGATAGTCAAACTATATAAACAGATATAGTCATTTTATATAAAATCCTAGCAAGAATAGACCGACTTAGACTCATCTATGTCCAATAAGCACATATAATCAATTTATATATACTACAGATTCACATATAGTCAATCTATTTAGCAAAACTCTAAAATAGAACACCAACTTCCACTAATCTATGCGACTTCGCGAAATCGTCCATGATTTTGGATTCAAAACCCATAACCTAAAACCCAGAACTCAGAATCGTAATTCTATCTTTCTCTATGTTTCAGTGAAGTCGTCGAGGAGATTCAAATTGAAATTTAAACCCAGAACCCATAATCCAAACTCTATCTTCATTAGCATTTTCCCATTTTTAAACCTTAATTCCCTTGTTCGAAATCCAAACCCACAAAGGAATAACTTACCAGGATGAATTCGCGGGGCTCTTCACTCTTCCCAATTAATCTGATACCCCTCTCACCTCAGAAATCAAACTATGTTACTGTACTTACTTTCTTTTTAGAAGAGAAATTGAAAGAAAAAAAAATGTTGCTCGGATTTAAATGTTGTTTCCTCTCCACTTTTCCAAACTGGTTTTTGAAGAAGTGATTTTTGTGGATAAGATAAAACCAACATTTACTGTATTTACGGTTCAAATTTCATTTCCGCAAGTAGAGATGTGAGAAGGATATCTTTGTCTATAATATACATTACACAGAGAATATAATAAACATCATTTACATATGGTTATTCTTTGAATTATTATTATGTTTTATTATGTTTTAGTTTTTTAGTTAAATTATTAATTTTTTTATTTTTTGTATAATTTATTTTTTCTTTCATAAATCTTGTAATCTCTTTTATTCATTATTTTTTGTCTAGTTTGTTCATCCAAATTTCGAGTTCTTTGATCTAAATTTTAATCTAGAGATAATTTTTAAATTTTTCAACATATATATATTTTTCAGTTTTAATAACCTCTTTTATATGTTATTTTTTTCAATTTTTTCATCAAAATCCTGACTAACAACAATTTTAAATTTTTCAATTTATCATTTTCATGTTTTCTTATTACACATATTTCATTTAATTCATCTTTTCCAACTGATATCTTCAAAATTGTTGCCATATATATATTCTTTTCTTTTCTTTTCTTCTTTTTTATTTTTTTTCTATTTTTGATATCATGATATTTTTTTGATTCTTTATTGATTTTTTGTGCTAAAATTTTATTGCTTATTTGTAAAATTTTAGTTGCTTGTTGTTTTTAAACATTTTTTTTAGGTTTAGTCTCAGCTCTTTTTTTTTTTACCATTTTGCGTTTTTATGATCTTAGTCATTTCTTTCATCCATTTTTGTTCAATTTTTTTTCATTCAAATTCTTACTTAAAAATTATTTTGTTATGACATATATTTTATTGAATCCATCTTTCCAAGTAAATTTATTTGTTGTCATATTCTTTTTTTCTATCATTTTTTCTCTAATTTTAATATACTCTTATTTTCTTGATTATTTATTAAATTTTTGTTTTGTGTGCTGTAGTTTTATTGCTCTTGTTTTTGTTATTCAGTTGCTTGAAAATCTTTTGACTTTTGTTATTATTTTTTATCTCAAAACTTTTTTTTCTTTATTTTGTTGATTTAGTTCTCTTTGTAGTTCAAAAATGGCAATTATATCACATGAAAATAAAATAAAATGACAATCACTATACTTTAACAAATTTGGATTTTATTATTCTAAGTTTATGCTTTAATATTTTTAATTAAACATATATAAATATAAAATTACATAGTTTATATTTATTTATGTTGTTTAATGGATTTTCTTTAGTTATATTGTTTTTATTAAACATATTGGTTTCAGTTTTAACCTCATAACTTGCTTTTTACTATTTTAAATTTTTATAATATAAGTAACTTCTTTCATATATTTTTCTGAATTTTTTATTTATTTAAAACCTAACATAATCAATTCATCATTTTCATATTTTGTTATTACATATATTTCATTAAATATATTTTTTCCAGTCAGTACCTTTAAAATTGTGTATATTAATTCGCTACCATATTTTTGTTTTTTTTATCATTTTTCTCTATAATTTTGATATTTTTTTATCTTTCGATTAGTTATTATTTATTGTTTTGTCTTGTAGTTTTAAAGTTTTTGTTTACTGTTCTTCCATTGCTTGAAAAAATTTTAATTATTGTTTTTAGATTTGGTCTCAAAACTTTTTTCTTTTTTTTTATTGATTGACGTATTTTAATTAGTTTAAAGATGATGAAATCATAAACAAAAAAAAATAAGAAGACAATCACTATATTTTAATAAATTTGAATTTATTTATTTTAAATTTATGCTTTGATTTTAATTTAATATAGTCAAATGTAAATTAAATAATATATATATATATGTTGTTTAATGAATTTTTTAAAAATTTGACTTTTTATAATAAATGCTGATGTGGAAAAACAAACTTAAATGAAGCAATGAGGGAGAGCTAACATGTCGCTCGAGAGCCCCCCTTTTCCTTTTATATATTAGATGATTTTAACTTTTATTTTATATTAAAATTACAAATATTTTTTTTTCTATTATTGATATTTTTGTTGTCCGCTACAAACACTACAAATTTGTGAGTGACTCATTTATGTTATCTGTATTATTATTATTTATTAAAATTTTATTTTATAAATATATATATATATATTCTAATCTATGTTGTTATGTATATAAGTATATATATATATATATATATCACTTTCACATTTAAAAACAACTAATAATTAAACCGCATAACAAGCCCTGGTGAAAGTCTAATTCAATGATATATATACAAGTATATATGGTTGTGTGATATTTAGATATGCATTGTTATCTACTTGCCATTAATTTTTTTATTTATTTTTTATTAAAAGATTTTTACCACCAATTTTAGTTTAACCAAAAAATTAAAAATAAATTTAAAGATAATTTATAAAATATTACTCCACACAATATGCGGATTAATTCCTAATTTTATTATATAAAGTTGAATGCATTTAACATGAAGTTGACACATATAATTTTTAAAAATCACTATATCTTGACATCCATAATCATTTTAATAACTTCATAACTTTATCATATATAATATTTTTATTACTTCATAAATTTACTTAAAAACTTTTGGGTAAAAAGTTTCATATTTTTTTATCAAAAAAAATCCCCAACTTTTCTATTTACCAAACTAATCCCCAATTTACTTTTGTAACAAATTTCTCAAATATTTGTTTGAAACCATATCAATCTTCTTTTTAGAGCCCAACATTTTTCTATGCCTTTACGATTCAATTAGTGACAGCGTGGATGAAGTTTTGGACAGATCATATTCGGATGAGGTATTTAGTTCTCCAAAACCATTAGTCGATCATTAATCGAATAAGAATATAAAAGCTTCTGAAGCAAATAAACTAAAATTATCTATCTTTTAATAGAACACCGTTCTATGTTTTACTAATTTAAAGTAAAAAATTCAAAAACACACTCATCTCCTTGACCTCTTCAACTTCCCAGATCGTTCAAAAGGCAAAACCTCAGCCTCTTGAAGCATTCTCTGCCAGAGCTCTTTAACAAGATGACGAGAATTCTTCTGAAACCAAGCTTGAATCTCCAAGTAAAGCACATTCGAATTCTGTTCCCAAATCTGTCTCAAACTCTCCAAACTATCAATCTTCTTCTCTTCCAGCGCTCTCACCAAACTCCCAACTCTTTCTAAACCCCAAGCTTCTCTTTCCAACAACGTTTCAGGTTTCCCAGCCAGTAACTGCCTAACGCTTCTCAAACAAGGCAATACCTCTCCTTGAAGCAATGCGCATCCAAAAGCCGCTGCTCGGTCTCTATCGTCTCTTACTGCCACACTATGAGCCGGAAGCTCCCAAAGATGAGGACCGAAACTAGGAACGACCCAGCAGAAAACTCTATCCACCTCGCTCGAGTAATACGGTTTCGGGTCCTTGAGCGGAGCGGAGAACACAGTGAGAGACTTTGCGTGTTTAACCAGCCACTCGGGCTTCACACGTGTCGCACCGTGCATGTACGGTCTGTTGGTGAGTAGGAGCTCGCTGTAGACTAACAACTCTGGGGCCGAGTTTATGAGAGACGACCAACGGTGCAAGAAAACCGGTTCTTGAACCGCGCAGGCTTGGTACTCCGTCGATTTAGTCTTTCTGGCTACACGGTCTGCCCATCCCGCACATATGGCTTCTCCTAAGAGCTCTTCTTCGTTCTGTAAAAGCGGGCTTTTTGAGGAAGACAAAGACGCGGTGACTCTCCATGACTTCTCTACGTCTTGTATAGTCCCATGAGTCCATGAGAAAACGTTTCCAGTTTCACAAGGCTTGCAACAGCTGAAAACAAGACGCAAAAGCTGATCTTTGAGCTTAGACATCTCGTTCATGGTCTTCAAATGCAAGCCGTACGACTCGCAGAAGCCCATTCCATTCTCCGAGACCTCAAAGGAATGCAACGCGTAAGCTACCGTCAAAGCGTCGCTGCTCGGGTTGGAAAACTTGTCCCGCGCGGCTTTGATCTTGTCTTTCCGATCTTTTCTCCGTTGTTTATCTTCCTGCTTTACGGTTTTGCCTGCATCTTCTTCAGACTCGGTTTTCTTCTCTCCTTCAAACTGCATTATCAAAGGGTTTGGTAAACTCAACGCGGCTACAGCTGCAACTGCGTATGCGAGGACAAGATTCGCGCGGGAGTAATTCTGAGCCTCTTTTAGCATTTGGATGACTGTGAGAAGCATTCTTGAGTGACGTGGACTCATGGGATAGTGAGACATAGCCTTCCCTAATGGAGTTAACCGTCCGTTGCTGTCGAGAGCCTCTAAAGCTTTTAAGCATCGTTCTGCTTCTCTAATAGCTGATGGCTCAGGCGGAGTTGGAAACGGGAAATTCTCAACCTGTAAGCAAATAGAAAAAGATAAAGGCAAAGATTCATCAAGAAAAAGATCTCTAGTCACATCGAAAAGTGGTGGTGGCTACAAAACGCCTTACCTTTGGAATATTCATAGATTTCATAAGAAGAACGACTCCATCAACAGGGACTTTGGTGATTTCAGGAGGGGAAGATTCGTCGAATATGTTGCTAAAAACAGCAGATGAATAGAGACGATAACAGTGACCAGGTCCAGTTCGTCCAGCTCTTCCAGCTCGTTGACTAGCCGAAGCTTGACTAATCCAATCTACTTCATAAGTTTCCATGCCAGTCTTGATGTCGTAGTTCTTCACTTTAGCCCGACCCGTATCAACCACATACTTTATACCAGGAATAGTCAGAGAAGTTTCCGCTACATTAGTCGCCACGACCACAAGTCTTTCTCCTTCCTCAACTTCCTCAAACACTCGGAGCTGTGCAGCTGGAGATAGCATCGCGTAAAGCGGGAGAACGCGTAGTTTTCCTGGAGCAAATGTTTTTTTTTCCTCCTCAGTTTCTTGATTCTCTGCTGCAATGGATCTTGTTGGCTCAGCAGATTCGGATTCCTTTTTGCCTGCCAAAGCATTAAACGCTGCTCGGAGAGCATCAAGCTTCTTCCCTTCTTCGTCAAATGAATTGGCAAAGCCGTCATCGACGGTTTCCCAGTCGCTTTCTTCATCAGACTCATTCATGTCTTCTTCTTCTTCAAAATCATCACGATAGTCACCTGTTTCAGAAGGATCTTCTCCCTGTGAGCCATCATCAAATGCTTCAGCAATCTCCTTCATGTCAACACCACCAAATGAACCAGCGTCTTCACATTTCTTCTTCTCGGAAGCATCTCTTTTAGCAGCTTGATCAACAAGTTCCTTTGAAGACTTCCGCAACTTCTCGCATAAATAGTCAACTTCTCTCTGCCCGGTCACGAAAACAAGTATTCCTCCTTGTGGTAACTTTCTGTGAATCGACATCACTTTCTTATAGGCTTGACCGATATAATCACCAATCTCAGTCTTCTTGGAGAAATGTATAGTTACGGGATACTGTCGAGTGGGAACCTCTATAAGCGGAGGTGACTTAGGGAATAACCTTTTCCCCGATACAAAATCTTCCACTCGCAAAGTTGCACTCATCAATATCAGTTTAAGCGGCATGATGATTTGGTTCTCTGAGGCTATTGTGCCTCCAGATTGTAGAGACTTTTTCTGCTCCTCGTAGTATTCTTGTCGGATTTTGATGACCCGAGTGAGCATCCCAATTAGAATGTCTGTGTTCAAGCTTCTCTCATGTGCTTCATCGAGAATTATCACAGAGTATCGCCTCAACAAGAAATCATTCTGCAACAAAATAACTTACACAATCAATTATCCTATTACCTGAAACAAACCATGGGGACGAGAAAAAAAAACAGCCTATTACCTGAATTTCACGAAGTAAAATCCCATCGGTCATAAACTTGATAGAGGAGTTTTCGCCAATCTTCTTGTCGTACCTAACTTGAAACCCGACTTCTTTACCGAGACGGACACCAAGCTCAAACGCCACTCTCTTGGCGGTGGCAAGGACAGCGACACGGCGTGGTTGAGTTATACCGATAATCCCACTTCGAGAACTGAATTGCTTTGAACCAAAACCAGCTTCATAAAGAAACTGAAAGATTAAGAAGCAGAAACTGCATCAGATTAGACTAACGAAAGGCCTCTAAAGCTATCATAAAACCTTTACTCTTGCAGCATAAACGACCTGAGGAACCTGAGTGGTTTTACCACACCCGGTTTGTCCTGAAATGATAACGGTGGGATGATAATTAATAGCTTCCATTATCTCCTGCTCCATCATTACTATCGGAAGATCCTTCCTCGTCTCTTCAACTTCCGCTGGTCTTGTAACATGGACTACAAACGAGGCCACACGAGGTCCTTGTACAGTTACATCTTCATCCTGTCTCATATCAAACCCATTAAAAACCAATCAAATCAAACAACATACGGTAGCTGAAATCGAAAAACTCCACAAACCATTCTCTCTGAGTCTTCTTCATCATCACGCCGACTTGTCTGTAGTAGAATCATATCCACATCTTCTTGGCAGACTTCTTGTTCAGGGGTACGAATCTGTTGCTCAGGAGCAGCTTCAAAGCTCGGAACTGGGGTTTCAGCATGTTCCGGTGATGTAGCCTCGGAGATACAAGAGTCAAAGTCGTCTCTTTGCTCGACTGATTCATCAGAATGATGATCAGTCACAACACCAGCTTTAGAGAGTTGCATTGCTCTCCTACGTTTCTCCAGCTTCGTAGCTGACTGAATCACCATCAAAAAGGAGAATCAGAACTTAAACTTTCTAAGCCAAAAAATCAAAGATAGAGAGATTAGATTGCTTACTCTTCCGATCACTGTTGAGGATTGTAAAAGCGACGACATATCCTCTGATATTTTATACTTGCTGTGAATATGCGATATTAAAAGAAAGAAAACGAAGAAAAAAAAATCCAATTCAACGATTGAAGAGAAGCGTAATAATCATACTCTAACAACTCTGCGGTTTTTGCAGAGATGATCTCTTTCTCCTTATCTTCCTCCAATTTCTTCAGCTTCCGTTTCTGTGATTTGCTCAGTATCGTCTTCTTCTTTAGATTCAGCTTATCACACATCTGTAAGAGAAATTTACAGATTTCTTCAGCATCCAAAAACCTTTTACTGGACAAAGGGTTTTTAGGGTTTTTGTTTACCTTATTTGATCCTTTATTCTTCTTCCTTGGAGGCATTATATCTAAATCGCAATTTTCCCCCATCATACTTGATAGAACTGGATTATGGGAAGGGGGATGAGAAATCTGGAGATGAGAATCAGAAGAAAGGAGGAGGGGGGAAGAAGAAGATGGAGCGCTCGGCTGAAAAGCCATAAATGGTGAAGAAAAAGGCTGAAAAACCATAATTCTATTAATTAATTTCTTTTGTATTTTTTTTTAATTACAAAAGGGTGGGAAATTCTACGATTATCCTTAGAAATGTCAATATTAACGAAAATACTTGGATAAAACCCACTCGAATGAAGCCCACCCATTAACCCGATAATAATTCAATTTAATTAAAAAAAATAAACCGAAATTAAATTAAAAATCGAAAACAGAAAATTGAAAACCTTAAACCGAAGTTGATTTGGTTCAACTAAAAACCAACTCAGACCGAATCGATCAAAATCGATTCTCTTCTCTCGCGAAACGGCTAACTCCCTCACTCACTCCCGCTCCCCTCTTCTCCGAAATTCCTGCAACTTCCCAATCTCACGAAGAAACCGAAAATCCTCTCACAAACCCTAATCGATTTGATTTCTCCAAAATCGTAACTTCCTCTTCCCTCTACTATATAACTCTCTCTTGTTAACCCTAAACCCTAACTCCTAATTCGCTCATTCCTTTCTTCTCCATCATCGGCGATAGCTATGGTTAAAACTCGTTACGGCGGGGTGATCTACGATTCCGAAGAACCCAAATTACCCAATAGCAGTGAAGAAGCAGCCAGAGGAGATGAAGACCCCGAAACAACTCGGAGAGAAGAGGAACCGGCGATTGATGAACAACCCCCTGAAGTTAGTCCGAGAGAAGAAGAAGGAGTGTTAGAAGGAGAAGAAGCGAATTCCGAGACCACAAATCAAGCGGCGGAAACCGCACCAACAACCATGGAAGAAGAACCACCAGTTCTGGAAACGAACAATGAAGCGGCACCAACACCCATAGAAGGAGAAGCAGCGATTTCCGAAACCACCAGTCAAGCACATGAAACCGCACCCATGGAAGAAGAACGACGAGTATCGGAAACCAGGAATAAAGCCGCCATGGAAGAGTGTGAGGAAGATGAACCCGAGAAAGAGGGACCGGCGGAGAAATCCCAGAAAGAAGGAGAGGTAGCGGAAGAGGTATCGGAAAAAGATACTGCAGCAGAAGAGGAATCCGAGAAAGATGCAGAAGAAGAGGAAGAAGGAGAGAAAGAAAGAGAAGAGGAAGAAAATTCCGGGAAAGGAAGAGAAGAGGGAGAAAATTCAGAGGAAGAAAGAGAAGTGGGGGAAAATTCAGAGGAAGAAAGAGAAGAGGAAGAAAGAGAAGAGGAAGAAAGAGAAGAGGAAGAAGGAGAAGAGGTAGAAAATTCAGAGGAAGAAGCACATGACCAATCAGAGCAAGAAGAATCAGAGGGAGATTTAGAGGTAACTATATTTTGAAATGAATTCTTGTTACACCTGGACAACTTGGAAAACCTGTATAGAATAGTTAGCTTTACATAAGTAGGCAATATCCGGACAACTAGGACAACTGTATATAACATCTAGCGAACAGGGACAACTTGGTTTTTCGTAATTAGGTGCGTATGGACAACTAGGACAACAGGGACAACTAAGTTTGAAGTAATTTGGTGCATATGGACAACTGGGACAACTGTGTTTTACGTGATTAGGTAATGAAATCCAAAATAATGAAATCCAAAATAATACACCTAGTTGCTCTGAACCTCTTCACCCTCTTAACCCTCTTCGCCCTCTTCACCCTCTTCGCCCTCTTCACCCTCTCCTTGCCTTGGGTTTAGTGGTTCAAACCAACGGCCAATGTTTGTGTTTGGGTTGGCCTTCTGACTCCTGCGAGCTTCTCCGGTGGAAGGAAACCGCTTCTCCTTCTTTCTTCCTGATTTTTTGGTGTAGTCTGGTGGGTAAACAACTAAATTTCCAACCTCCTCAGGAATAATCCAAGTTGAATGATGCGGCACCATATAGATGGTTCGGCAATAAGCCAACGCCCAAGTATCAATCAAGTAGTACCTCGAGCATAAATCGAAAATGTGTATGTCTCTTCTTCTAGATGTCGTCCGCATCATTGCAATGGTTGCGGCTATTGCATGCACACATGGAATCTTATCTATATCAAACATCCGACACTCACAACTTTTTGTTACCAAATTGACCAGATAGCTCTTCCCATCAAGTCCAACCACACTGTACTCAAGCTCAGGAACATTTAGCTCAGTCACAGTTAACGCTGTCGCTATTGCACATTGGATATGCAACTGATTTTCCACATATGGCACCAATTTCTTCGAATACGATGCACCAGCAATGTCTTCCCTATGCCTGTTGAACCACTCAGACACTTTTTCAATATACACATCAATCAACGGCAATAATGCATACTTTCTAGCTTTCTTGAAGACACTGTTCATAGATTCACAGGCGTTGCTTGTGTCCAAGTTATACTTGTCTCCTTTGAAGTAGCACCTTGCCCATTTCTCGAGAGGAAGACCATTCTCTAAGTACTCCGCAGCTTTGGGAAACATTCTACCAAATTCGGTATATGCACTTAGAAACTCACTTTCGGTGTACTTGTGAGCGCAGTCAATGAATTTTTTTGAGCACAAATCTTTCCAACCATTGGCTGCTTTAACCCTCACATTCCGAGACAGGTGCCAAACACAAAATCCATGCTGAGACTGAGGGTACACCTCTTGCACTGCCTTCGCTATGCTTGTGTGTCTGTCACTCATAAAAACAATCTCAGGATTATCTGGTATAACAGTTTTGAGCATCTCTAAAAACCACCTCCAACTAGCATCTTTCTCACTATCGATTACACCCATTGCAATGGGATAATGGTGATGATTAGGATCCTGAGCTGTGGCAAATACAAGCATACCACCATAAACATTCTTAAGAAATGTTGCATCCACAACTATGACTTTTCTCATTGATCTAAACCCTTCAATGCTGGGACCCAAAGCCACAAAAAGATACTTGAACTTATTATTAGCATCCACTTCCACGCTCGTCACTGTACCGGGGTTCACCAGCTTCAGCATGTACAAATAAGAATGCAATCTTTGAAAGCTCTCAGCCGGACTACCCCTCACTTGACTAATAGCGAGTTTTTTCCCTCTCAATGCAGTAGAGTACGACACATTCACATGAGCTTCAGTTTGAACAACCTTTACTATATTTCTAGGAGCGGGTGTATCCACTACACCTGGATACGAAGCACGCAAAACATCTGCTACTACTTGTGGAGTGCCTTTTCTTTTATTCTCAAGTGTGCTGGTAAGGACCCGAGAGAAACAATGCTTATTCCTGTAAACTCGAAGGCTGAAATAAGTTGAATCCTTCATTCTTACAGCATGTAAATACCATGAACAACCATGTTCAGCTTGACGGCATTTTAGAATGAGTCGCCCAGGATCAGACTTCACAGTTTTAACCTCAAAACATCCCTTATGCGAAGCTCTGTCAACCAATACTCGCAACGCCTCTTTCGACCTAAATTCTTGATGTTTCTCAAAACCAGCACCATCATCCCATTCAATAACAAACTGCTGAGTTGGTTCTACTCGCCCTGCAGGCTCTACGTGATCATCCTCATCCATAATATACTCTGCAGGCTCTACATGTGCATGATCATCCGGTTTTGAAACAACATCATCGATCACCATCTGTTTCTCAGTCTCTGCCACGACCACAATAGCAAGTTCATTCTGTTCTTTCCCTGCTTCTACCGGTGTGTAAGTAGTCATCCCTTCCTCAATATCAAGCATATTATCCCCTGTTGCTAGCTCATCACTCTGATCTTCCATTATCTCCACATTCAACACAGATCTAAGTCCATCTTTGTCCAGAGTTGTTAGATAGACATACACATCACCATCATCAACAATACGTGACTCATTGCGTGGCTTAGCTACCAATGGAATGTAGCTTAACTTGAGCTTCTTTGTACTATCGTTTATCCCAATCTTCTTGCATATACCATCTACAACCATCGAATAGGTTACCTCGTCGATAGATTTTTTAAATGATATAGCATAGATGGAACTCCTTGAAATCCATTTAAACTCTTCTCCTTCCTTAAAATAACATCCTCCATACTCAAAATGTATGTTTGTGTGGCCGCTCATCCTCTTCTGTTCATAAATACAAAAAAAAAGGCTTTTACGATTTACAGAAAATTAAAATTTACTCACAGTTATACCAATTGTACCAGTTGTCCCACATATCTCTTTAAGTTATCCCAATTGTACCAGTTGTCCCATTTCATTCAGTTTTCCCAATTGTACCAGTTGTCCCACATATCTCATTCAGTTATCCCAATTGTACCAGTTGTCCAATTTCATTCAGTTATCCCAATTATACCAGTTGTCCCCTTTCATTTAGTTATCCCAATTATACCACTTCTCCTATTTCATTAAGTTATCCCTATTGTACCAGTTGTCCCATTTCATTCAGTTACCAATTGTACCAGTTGTCCCGTTTCCCACAGATTCACTATTTGTACGATTCAGCTCGATTCAAATCGATTCTACCGCACCACGTTACATTTTAACACAGAGAAAACTAAATCAACCTATATAAGTAACTAAACTATCCAATGTGCAACCTAAACAAACCGAAATTGACAAATCGATTGAAAAATTGAAAAATCCCCAAAATACAGAATATGTTCACCTTAAAGCGAAATGGCGGAGGAGAAATGAGTTACGGAGAATAACCCGACTTCAGAGGACGCCGGCGCACCGCTACGAACGAAAATAAGCAACAGTTTACAAGATTCGAGCAGATCGATCGATATCTGGGTTTAAGGTTTTCGTTTGAGCTTTTAGGGTTTACATACGCGGGATGAAGATTTTGATTTCCCTAATTTTCGGTTCAATATACCCAGAAATTCTGATAATACCCGAAATTGATTTGTTGGTTTGGTTTTTCGATTTCAATTTTCAATTTTCAGTTAACTCGATTTTTTTAAAAAAACACCAAAATTCATCACAATTCAAGAATGCCATCATCTCCCTTCATTAAGGGTAAAATGGGCATATCACACCTATTATGGCACTCAGACTCATTTGTGGCACAAGAGATTTTTTTTTCCTAATTTATGGCTTCTCAGCCATTAATTCAAGAAGATGATAGATGAGAATAGGTATTTTTGATGTTAATTTCTTTGATTTTTTTTTTGTCGAATTATTGAAGGCTTAATGGGCTGAAAAGGCTACAATGGAAAAGTCTAGTAAGCCCAGTGTAGTTATTTTATTTATTTTATATATAAAACTTGACCAACTTTCTTCAGTTGATCGTCACATCAGCATGGGAGAAATTGACACATGTCCACTTATATATAAATTTAATATTAATTAATATTACATTAATAATCATTTATAATAATAAATTTAATTATTATTAGTTACCTAATGATATTAACATTAACATCACTTATTTGTAACTGATATAATTATTATATTAATTAAAATTATTTATTATAAACGAAATAAATTATAATATCATTTATTTTAATTGAGATAAATGTTAAATATTCGCATCAATTACTATAAATGATTAAAGTATTTACATCAATCGGTAAAAATGCTGCAAAATATTAAAGTCATCACTTCTAGAGTTAGTTTTATAAATGATGCAAAGTTGATATAAACAAATATAATAAATGATACAACAAACCTTAATTGTTGTAGTGTAAGTTTTTAACTATTTAAAAATTATTTTTTATTATTAATTGACACTTCAATAATATTTATGTAAATGTTAAATAAAAATTTATGTTATAATTAATTAAAATTATTGATGAATATTTATTTTATTTTTATAGAACTCTAGATTACTTAATAATATTCAATATATATTTTAAACTGATTTTTATGATTTTTTATAATAATATATTAATAAATGATGATTATATTTACTTTTATGAAAATTTAAATTTGAAATAGTTGAAAATAAAAAATCCGCATATAATCTGCGGGTATTCACCTAGTTTATATTATTATTTATCAAGTCAAAAATTTTAAGTATCATTTCTACTACGATTTTCCTACGTGTATTAATGAAAAAAATAGGAGAGAATCTACGCGTATGTGCAGATTTTGTTTTAAGTTATATTTTAAATAATATATTTTAAGAATTTGTATTGAATTTTATGTTTACTATCAATGTTTTTGCGTTTAAAATATTTATATTTTCTTTGATTTTACATTATTTATAATCTTTGTTATACCCTTGTGTCAAATAATCTAATTTTCTCATAAAATAATAAAGGACTAAAAATCTACTATCCTAATTTTTGTATGAAAACGTAAAAGTTCACTTTAAAATATATATTGAATATTAGAGAGAAATATTTATTTGTTCTTCAATTTTTATATTCTTTTTATTGTTGTAAATTTTACTAATATAATACTTATTAATTTTCTAAATTTACCATTTTGAAAATTTTTTGGTTATATATATTTTAACGTTTAATGTTGTGAGCTTTTAATTGCTATCATTTGAATATAAGAGCGCCAATTCAGTTTCACTTATAATGACTGTAAATTCGCACAAGCGAACGAAGATTTTTTTAAGTGACTAAAGCTTTGAAATATATGAGAATAAGATAAGTAATTAAATATCTAAAAGAAATTACCATTGGATTTGAGAGAGAACCAATGCAAAGATGAAACATACCATCTAGAACAGCATTAGCAAACATATAACAGGAATTCCATAACAGTAATTGTGCATAAAAAAAAAGAACGAATTGATAAGTAATGGCAAATAAAGAGATAGGAAAACTGGACAGAAATGCTCATGAACCCTTTCTCCATCGTGGTTTAGTAAAAATATACCTTGTAAGGACAGAGAAGACGGACGCTTCTGTACTATATACCCCAAAAATTAGTTCAACCTACAAACAAAAAAAAAATATTTCATCAATAAGTAAGCAATAAGAACCATGAACAACAATTAAAACCAAAGTGAAAGGCAACCAAAATAAAAAGAAAACGATAAGATCAATGAAAGCCCAAGAAATCAGATAAAAAAAAAAGCAAACAAACTTGCAGAAAACATTGGGAACAAAACAAAAGAAATAAACCAGAGTATAATGCTCGGTGAGAGGAAGAACAATCGAGCATAATGCCAAAGTATATATAAAAAAGAAGTACAACTAACAAAAGCACATTAAAAAGTATGGCTAATGAAAGTTGCGCATTCACGGTGATGTGCGGTCCAGACCTCGCAGCTCAGCTGATCCGTACTCCTTCAGATGATGAAATCCGGTCAGTGCTGTTCTCTATGCCTAAAAGTAAGGCGCCTGGCCCTGATGGGTTTTCGATGGAATTCTTCGTTGAAGCATGGGGAGTTGTGGGTGTGGACACTATTAAAGCAGTAAAGGAATTCTTTGCGACTGATCATATGTGTAAACAGTTCAATGCTACTGCTATTACGCTTATTCCAAAGGAACCAGGGGCTGATAAACTCAATCTCTTCAGACCTGTAGCCTGCTGCAACACTGTCTACAAAATTATTTCCCGTCTCATTACCCAGCGGCTTAAGCTTTTCATCCCTGATGTCGTTCAAAATAATCAAGTTGGCTTTGTGAAGGGACGGATTCTCTGCGAGAATGTTCTACTGGCATCCGAGCTAGTCACCAAGTTTCATCTTCATGCTCCCACAACAAGAGGCTGTTTGCAAGTGGATTTAATAAAGGCATACGACAACTTGAACTGGACATTTATTCTTAATGTTTTACGTGCTCTGGATCTCCCTGAAGTGTTCATCAACTGGATTCAAACATGCATTTGTACTCCTCACTTCAGTATTGTGGTTAGTGGCAAGATGGTGGGCTATTTTCCCGGGAAGAAGGGGTTGAGACAAGGTGACCCGATGTCATCTCTATTATTTGTCCTTGCCATGGACATTCTGTCCAAGATGCTCGATCAGGCGGCTGTAGATGGTGTTTTCCAGGTGCACCCGAAATGTCAAGCGCCTCTTATTACCCATCTCAGTTTTGCAGATGATGTACTATTGTTCTTTGATGGAAGCGAGACCTCTGCGAAGGGTATTCTTTCAGTGCTGGAGACGTTTAGGGTCGCTTCTTGTTTGGAGTTAAATAAGAAAAAAACTCTTTTCTTTCTCGATGGTGGTAATCATAATTTGACGAGGGAGATGACAGGAAGACTTGGTATCAAGCATGGATCCTTGCCGGTCCGATATCTGGGAGTTCCACTCACAACCCAAAAACTAAGGAAGCAGGATTACCAACCATTGCTGGACAGATTGGTAAAACGTTTTCTTCATGGACAGTGAGACATCTGTCTTTTGCAGGGAGGCTATAATTGCTGCAGTCGGTCATCTACGCAACTATAAGCTTCTGGACATCAATCTTCATGCTACTGAACCAATGTATTGTCGATCTGGAACGTATGTGTAGCTCTTTCCTTTGGAAAGGAGCACCTAATTCATCTAGAGGTGTAAAGATCAGCTGGCAATCAGTTTGTACTCCCAAGGAAAGTGGCGGGCTTGGCCTGAGGAGATTAGCAGCTTGGAACCGGGTTCTGGGGCTGAAACTGATATGGCTGATTTTTTCAAATGGAGGCTTTCTCTGGGTATCCTGGATCAGACATCATCTTATCCGCCATCAAAGTTTTTGGGAGCTGGATCCTAACGCAGGTGGGAGCTGGATATGGAAGTCTCTCTGTAAGCTGAGACACATCGCTCGACCTTTCATCATCTGCGAGGTTGGCTCAGGAATTACTGCTCGTTTCTGGCAGGATAACTGGACTGGCCTTGGTCCTTTGATCGACCTTACTGGTGTTGACGTCCTGAGGCTGGCGGGTATTCTCCATGATGCAGTGGTGGCAGATGCTATTCGCAACAACCAGTGGATCGTCTGTACTTCTCGGAGCTGCAACCCCATTACTTCTCTGCTTCGAGACTGTCTTCCTTGTGTTGATGGTATTATCGCCTCTGAATCCGATGACATTTATCTTTGGAAAACTATGAACCACACCCCATCTTCATCCTTCTCATCTGCTCGCACTTGGTCATCCTTAAATCCGTCGTTACAGCGTGTTTGTTGGGACAAAGCTGTTTGGTTCAAAGGCCGAGTCCTGAAACATGCTTTCATTACCTGGGTGGTTGCGAGAAATAGATTACACACCCGGGAAAGGCTTGTGAGTTGGGGCATACCGGTTCCTCCCACCTGTCTCCTGTGCAGCGCCGATATTGAATCCAGAGATCACTTATTCTTTGCCTGCCCCTACAGCGCCGAGGTGTGGTCCTTCTTCACGTCAAGGACCCATCTAATGCCTCCAAATCCTTTTGAGGATTGCATTAGATGGATTAAGGACCCCACCAGAGATCAAAATGTGGCCCTCATCTTTAAGCTCATCTTTCAAGCCACGATCTACGAGCTTTGGAAGGAGAGAAATCATCGGGTGCACAACATAGCCTCTCATCCGCCTTCTGTTCTCCTTGCAGAAATATCTCTTCTCATCCGATGCCGCCTTGACCCGCTATCAAGAGCCTAGAGGAATCTGCCTTCTACCATGTCTTATCTAACTACTTGGTTTTCTTTGTTTAGCAATTAGGTTGTTGGCGTGGAGGCCTCGCTGTATTATTTTTTGGAAGCAGGCTATACCCATCGCAACTCCCATTTGTATCGGGCTTTGGCCTTTTTAGTGAATGGATGAATGGGAATTAAAAAAAAAAGAAGAACATACACCACTCCAATGTCCATCAACCTACAATAGTAAAACAACAACATTAAACCAAGCGTAAAGCAAGCGGCAAAAACTATAAAAACCTAGGGTTTTCAAACACAATATTGAAGATGAAGAGATGGTTGTATTTATATAGTTTATGATAGCTAGGGTTTCGTTTAGTGTAAAATCGCATGGGCCGATATTGAAAAAGATCCCACGTTTTTTTTTTAATTTTGGTAAATATCCTTTAGTTAATTAATTTAATATATTTAATTTTTCATTAAAGAGTAAGAGGTAATTAACCAGCTGAAACTCAATGAGAAGCATCCATTCCTTATTTTGAACTCGTTTTTAGTATACTACGAGAGAACCCGCGCGTATCGGCGGATCTTGTTTTAATTTATATTACTTTAAGAATTTGTATTGAATTTTATGTTTACTATCAATGTTTTTGCATTTAAAATATTTATAGTTTCTTTGATTTTACATTATTTGTAATCTTTTCTATACCACTTGTGCCAAATAGTCTAATTTTCTCCCAAAATAATAAGGGACTAAAAATCTATTATCCTAATTTTTGTATGAAAACGTTATAGTTCACTTTAAAATATATATTGAATATCAGAGAGGAATATTTATTTGTTCTTCAATCTTTATATTCTTTTTATTGTTGTAAATTTTACTAATATAATACTTCTTAACTTTCTCAATTTACTATTTTGAAAATTTTTGGTTATATACATTTTATTGATTCCATCTTTTTTATTTATAAAAAATCATTTTTATGTAGATACCCGTCTTTTTACTATTATTTTTTAAAATAAATTTGATCTTTTTAATTGTTTATTAAATATTTTTGTATTTTATAATTTTATTAGTTGGATTTTTATATAAGATTATTTGAAACTTTTTAATTTATCCAGTCTCATAGTTATTTTCATTTGTATTAAAATTTAATTATATTTTTAGTTTGAAAATGAAGTTTCAATCATTTGAAAAAAAGAAATAGAATTGTGCATTTAGTTATAATATTTATAAGTTTTATATATATTTAAATTAAATTTGAATATTATTCTAAAATAAATATATATTAGTATTTACTTATGTTATTTAATGTGTTTGCTTTAAATTTGATTATTTATTTGTTTATTAATATTTTAAATGGACATGTGTCACTCTTTCTACTGCTGATGTAGCACTCAACTGGAGAAAATTGAGCAACTTTTATATATAATAAGAGAGTATCCGCGCAACGCGCAGATGGTTTATGTTAATTTTGTTAGTTTTTATTTTATTGTTTGGTCATTTACCAATTTATTTTGTAATATTATTTTTATTTTGTAATATAATCATTTTACAATCTATCATTTTAGATTTCCTAATATTTGATTTCTGAATTTTTATCTTTTATTTTTTGTTTTTTTCCTATTTGATTGCAAGTAGGTTGTATTCTCTTATACTTTTATAATATAAAAATGTTATCTCGAATTGGCTTATCGTATTCTTGATGATTTAACTTAGTATTTGTTCTATAGTGTATATAATGATGTGTTCTATAATTTCAGATTTAGTGCATGATATTTGGTTTTTGAGTTGGTATCTTTTATTCTTTGTTTTTTCCTTATTTGATTGCAAATAGGTTGTATTTTTTTATACTTTTACAATATAAAAAGTTATCTCGAACTGATTTATCGTATACTTGATGATTTAACTTGGTATGTTTTTAATAGTTTAGGATTTTAAATAAATTTAAATTTGAATGACAACATTTCGTATAAGTGGTGTTTATAAACCTAATCCCAAATCAATTCTTGTCTTGGTAAAATATATAATTTCAGATTTTTTCGAATACTCTCCATCTCTTCTATTACTTTGTTATTTTTTTTTAGTTTCTTCCATAGGCTAAAAATACTCTCTTTCCAATAAATACTGTCCCAATAAATACTTTGTCTTATGTTTTTGGTGTAATATAATTCTCCTACATAGATACTTGTCTTGTCGTTTCAGGAATGTAGAGCAAGGAAACAAAACATAAGAAGCAAACCATATATATCTCTCAATTAAATTGTTTCTTCACTGAGAAATTTTGTGTTAGTTTGATATGTTTTTATAATCTCTAAACTTAAAATCTCTTTAAGTAATCTTTTTCTTTCATGTTTTATGATTGAAAATCTACTCTACTTTTGCTGATTGCTTGTAGTACTTTTGTAAATGCTGCAGAGGCAACATGTATTAAAAAATGACAAACGCTCAGAAGATTACCATCCAAATATAATTATATATTTAAACAGCTCTTTACGTGAGTAAGTTCATTCTCTCCCAACAGTTTCTAAAGACATTACAAAGTGTCTAGCTAATACTATTACCACAATCAGTCCATCTTCGATAGTTTACCTTTACTGCTGCTAGCTGAGTTCTCTTCTTCTCGACGCTTTTGCTCATAGTCTTTTTCCAATCGATCCAATACTTGGAGTTCTTGGTATAGTTCCTAAACCAAAAGAGATATTGAACACATAATTCTGAGATGTCTGAGTGACATCATGACAAATAACCTACATTTTTTTTATATATTACACATCATTCAATAGTAAACAGCAACTAAGGAAGACAGGTCAAGGAACTGTCAGTAGCAAGAACAACTCAAACTACTTTTAGAGATTATTATTTAAGAAAGTATTTACTCACAGCAGTATACTGCACCAGAACCATCAGTTGTTCAACAACTAACACAGCGTCTTCATTCAACTGCCTTTGAGGGGTTAATTCTTTGCTGATCCTAAGAACCAAAGAAACAATTCAACAACTAAATGGAAAGCTACAAGGCACCAACGTAATCTCATGCTCAAAGACTTCGTATAAAAGCCACCTGTCGAAGTAGCACTGTAAATTAATTACAAACGGTGCAAGATAGTTTCTTGCTGCACCTGGTTCATCTAGACCGTAGCACCAGGCCGGTGCAATGTCCGTGAGGGTGCCTTCATATCTTCCTTCAAATGCTACAAAACATATCATTTTTGATGAAAACAAATATACAATACATGAGATTTCTGTTGCGCAAATTAACCAGCTTTCCCTGAGCCTAAACGAAAAATGTCAAATTTTCGTCACACTCTGAGGAGATTTTATGTTAGAAAATAGGAAAACACACTTACGTAGAGGACCGTAGAGTATATATCCATTCCCTCTAAACTGTAAGGAGAAGCCTGGCGAGCAAGTCAGAATGCTTTTTCAGCTTCTAAATAATCTATTAATTCAAAGTATGCTTTCCCGACCTGCATTAATAGCCATTGCTCGTACATAAACCATCAAAATACCTTCAACAACGTATATCACAGGCAACCAGATTAAAACTTCATGCACGGATTCTCTTTGGAAACTTCACTTCAAGTTCGTCGTTTTGAAAAGTCTATACACACCCACCAAACTGAACAAGACAGCGTGAAAGAGAGAAGGGTCACTTATTAAAGGATGGGAAAGAACCCATCCTGTATTATAATGCTTATGTAGAAGTTTCATATACGTATCCAGTGCCTCCTGAAACACCCAGAAGCACAAGGAAGAGAATGAAATAATCCTATATAAGTGAACATGACCTTTGTATTATTTAAGAAAGCAACAATATGCTTACCTTACACCTGTACATGTACGAAAGTCTACACCCTTCCCCGAGTGTCCTTAGGAGGCTAACTAATTCTGAAACACAAACTGGGATTTTTTTGTGCACTTAACGTTGTGCCACCAATTGACATTGTTTCGTCTTCTTGATCACAGGATTTAGCATCACTGGAAGCCATAGAACCAGTCATTGAGGCAGTATTAGTCCTTGAATCATTAAAAGGTTCCCCACGAACTCCTAAACCAATCAGAATGGCAACGCTTATGTTGTTACATAGACGCAAACAATTAAAAAAAGGAATGATGAACAAAAATCACATCAACCCAATTTGGAAGCAATAAGATGATATAGTGCATGAGATGTCACAACCTTCATCTATGTTTTCATTTTCCCAAGAATGTCCCTTCCGAAGTGTTACAGAACGAAGTGCCAAAGAACTCAATTTAGAACCCACAGCGCTGTTCCCATTTCCGCTTACTGTTGCAACACTTGCATTAGTGTTTGCCCCTGAATCAGCAGTCAGTGTCGAACTCCGTCATGGACCAGAATCAGAAAAAAACCTGCCAGAAATATGCAGAGGAAAGAAACATCACCCATAGTAAGACAAAATTCAACTCATGTAAGAATCAGAATATTACAGAGAAAAGTCAAGACAAGCTAATTCAGAATTGTGTCTTAATGACAACGAGTAGAATAGTACAGATATGTGAATACTACCTTACGTAGCTTTCCTTGATCTACAAATTTTCTTCGCGGTGCTTGTATGGTAGAGTTTACTGTGGACTTTGGTGAATTGTCAGTAATAAGGGAGTTTTGGTTTGGAACAGCCCGCTGAAAATTCCGGAAAAGTACCGGATAGCTACAACATGAAAAATATAAAAATCTCACACCTTGAAGTGAAGTTTCCAAACCCCAATTAATCGTGAACCCTAATTAAGCATACATTTATCAAAATTTCATATCAGATTCCCGAATCCAACCCAAACTTTGAAGAACAGAGGAATCTGGAGTTTGTTTTTTACCTGGGGTTTCTCGAACTGATAATGAAACGGTACGTACAGTCTTAGATACTCTTCATCTTCCCCATCTCCATACGGGACCTCGCGCTGACTCGAAAACGATTTCGATTCTTTCCAAGCTCTGTGCAGCCTCAGAATCTGAGAAGGGTGACAGTTTAGCTCCGCCAGAATAGAGGCCACCGTGATCGTAACCTTAGAAGACCTTCTCAGGGAAACTCGCAAAGAATGGGAAAGGAACGACGTTTCTTACCAACGAATTTTAGACCATGTTTATTAGAGAGACCGATGTTGGTCTCTTAAACATTATTTAAATAATTTACATTTAAGAGATGTCTTTTCCCTATACCACCAAATAAGAGACGTTTCTCTTTTTTTTTTTTTAAGCCAATTTTGATTTATTTTGTGGGCTCAATAATGTTAAGAGACTCAATTAAAAATGACTGATAAACATGCTTTTAAAGGCTATTTTTTTTAATCAAAAAAGTGACACGTGTCATATTATCCAAGATGACGTAGCAGAAAGCTTGAAAGAGTTGGCCAAAAATAGGTGAGAATCTACGCGTACGCACAAATATTTTTCCTATTTATATATTTTTAATTATTTTCCGAATGTGTTACCACTTAAGTGACTTTTGAGTTATTAATTACCAAAATAGAGATTTCTGTATTTTAATGTTCAATAAAGGCACTTCTTCCCTTTTAGACATTGTGTAATTACAGTTAAAGCCCTGCTGTGTAAATATTAGACTACTACTTATTTCTAAGTAACTCGCAGTAATTTTGGACGTCTTCTTTTATTACTGGCAGCATTAATATTTCTTCTGGTGGAATTCTCCGGTGAATTTGCTGGGATTTTTGAAGACACTGATTTTGGATTTCTAAGTTTTCTGCCGAAAGAGCGATGGGAGGTATGTAATATTTTTGAAAATACTTCAGCATATTTGTTCAGTTTAGAAATTGTGTGAACTATTTGGTCATCGAATCACTGGTTATTTCAGGTGAGGTTGTACAACCAAATTTGTGTTTACCAAAGCGCTTGTTCGCGACGGATCGCTATCCATGCCGCCGTTTGAACATCTATTCCAGACCGACAGATACTCTGACACTAGTACACGAGGCATTAAGAGTTACGCCTGAGTTCGATTAAATCGTCTTTTGGGAAGCTTTACGACATCCCGGTAGATAGAGCTCCAATATCGTGCAAGCTTATCCACGCCTTACTAACGCGTCAATTGGTGACAAAAAGGAAATATGAGCTGTGGACGGTATTTGGTGGACACCCTATACGGTTTTCTTTAAAAGAGTTCTAGCAGGAGACTGGGCTAAATTGTGGAGATTTTAACGAAGATTACGATCCCGAATCCGTTTTTAGTACTGAGCCACTAGTGGCTGATAAATATTGGAGGAAATGGATTGGTGATGACAAGAGAACGACTTGTGCAGATATAACTGAAATGCTAAAGTCTGACAATAACATGCCCGGTGATAGGAAGTTACGTCTGGCACTATTACTAATAGTTGAGTGTGTTTTAATAGCTAAAACACAGACGCACAGGCCAACACCGAGATATGTCAGACTAGTCGACGATTTAGAGGCATTTTTAAGTTTCCCTTGGGGTAGAGAATCGTTTATTGTCACCATTGCCTCAATGCTTCCAGCAAGAAAAACAGTTAAAAAACAGAAGACCCTGTTTCCCATTTTGCGCAACAACTGAAGCAAGAAACCTATAGGATGCAAGGATTCCCCCTCGTGTTGCAGCTTGTAACTTTAAATTGTGTGCCCTCATTATTAAGCAAACTACCAGTAGCAGTCGGACCTCAGACACTGTTGGAATTGAAATCTTTGGGGTTATCCAAGCATTTTGGACTGTCAATCAATGATGTACTCAAATCTGAATCAGAAAGCAATGTAATGTTTGTAAAATCTATTTTAGTTTTTACTTGTTACTACTTTCTATGTAGTTTTAACAATCACTAGCAAACATTTTGCAGTTGGTTGTGAATTCGATCGTGGGAAATGACCCCGAAGAGTGGGATGACGAGGTTAGAGATAAGAAGGTGATATACATGTTGGAATAGGAAAGGGCACAACTTCCACAGAAGGGACTGACCGGGTGGTGATGACTCTCAACCTTTCATCAGGGTTGAGCACCTTAGGGGAAATCATAGAATTCATCTGATAGATAGGAAGGTGCCGAGGAAATACGTCGACGTGGATGAGCCAAAAGCAAACGACGGATGTTGTAGTGTAGTTATTGACGAGGCCTCTGATGATCCTACGGAGTTTCAGAGGTGGATACAAGAAAGAGCTGCCGCGCTAGAACGCTTAGTCCAGAAGCCACCAGTTCCATTGTTAAAAAAGAGAAGTAGAACCAGAATCAGTAAGAAACAAACCGTTTCTAGTAAAGCTTTAATTACTTTGGATGCCGGTATTAAAAAATTTAGCGATAATGAAAAAGTATCCGGCGATTCTGGTGCGCATACTTCATCATGAGATTTTGTGGGGGACAAAGGGACTCCCGTAAAAGAGGTGTGTTTTTTGTACACTAAACATAATATCTATTTATGTTATGCAATACATAATATTGTTTGGGATTTCGTGAATATGTTCAGGTGGCCGCAATGTTGGATGAAGAATTGGAAGAAAACGAGTTTGTGAGTTTTAATCACAATCTTATTTTAGTTTTTAAACGGTTAATCGAATGTTTGGTTTAACTGTGGTGTCTGATTTTTTTTGTAGTCTCCACTGTTGAATCAAATCGGATCAATGCGGAAGAAAGGGTATACTGAGGTATGTTTTAGTTGACTATCTTATAACTTTCACTATTTTAAAAATAATTACAATTTCGTTATGTCCATGTTGCTTCAGCGTGGTGTCTACATTGAAGATGATACTGATCGGTTGATTTGAAATATTTACGTTCTGTATCAGGAACCAGAAGGTGACGTATTTGCCTGGAAGGTTAGTCGGCTGTTATGGAGATAGTTATCTGTGTTTCACGAGATTATTACCAGTAAACACACTTTTTAATGTCCAACAAAGTCACATAACTGGTAACACACTCGTGTTTCACATGATTGTGGATACATGTATAATGTGTACATTGTCAAAGGTCCAGAGTAATAAAATGTTAGATGACATAGGTCATTACTCGTCGCTCAATAATAATGGATTGTTTGTCAAAATTTCTAAATATTTATAATTTATAGACCATGGTGTTAATTTTGGTTGTTTATTGGTTGTTTATACAAGTTTTCTGATTACAGGAACTGGAATCCAATTCTATTCCGGATTCAACAGAGTCACTCGCGATTGTTAAATCTGATGGTGATAAAGATGTAATAGATATGGCATGTAATTCGTTACTCTGTTATAAGAGACGGAAGGTATCGGAGGCTATAGAGGTATTTACATCATCTTTATAATTTTGGGATGGTTAAGAAAGAGGTGGTTGAGTATGATACTGTGTACAGCAGGCTGAAGAAATTGTAGCCACATCTGATAAGACTCAGGAAAAGATATTGCAGACTCGTTACTTGAAATTGAGGGGAGAGGTTACCCTAGTCAGCTAATGACTGAGGAAGCACTTGGAAACGAGGTAAATTAGTATTTGTGTCAGTTACACATGACCTGGCAAATTACTAAACTCCTTACTGTGCTTTTATTTTATGTTGTTGTTTATTATTCTGGCAGCTATCCATTGTGGCTCATGATGATTCCATATGCGAGGGAAATGTAATAATGGAGGTTGATAATACTGGACCTAACCACGTAGTGCAAGAACCTACGAATGCAAGCTTTCGCGTCGAGAATGACGAAGTTATGGAGAAGGTAACGAATTTTTAATGTTTTGGTTATGTATCCGTGATTAATGATATGTTAAAATTTAGTCGGCCTTAAGAATATGTTATATGTAATAATAATTGTTCATAAAATCTGAATGTTCTATGTCGTTTAGGTGCCTAAGTTCACGGAAGACATATTACCAAGATCTTCCCCCCAGACTTCAAAATTTCCCTAGAAGGTTACAGAGCTTATTACTAGAGTTGGGAATTTGGTAAAAGCGTCAATGGAAACTAGACAACCTTTTCCTTGAGGTGAAGGAGGATGTCTTCCAATTGTTTAGTGATTGTCTCATTGAAGGCGAGAAAGTGTATGTGTTTACAATTGTGTGGATGTGTATGATAAGTTTGCATATTGGCTGATCGATGAATATATATACATATGCAGCGGCTACAACTTGATCAGTCGTACAATGTTTGACAACCATTTTCTTCAGATGTTAGCAAAGCCTTCGAAACCCATGACTTCCACAGTGAGTGATTTTGTTGTATATCTTTACAATCGTCTGCCTTGGTTAAGTTCTTAAAATGTTGTACGTATTGTCCAGGATATGGGGAAGATGGTTAACTTCCTTGGGGAAAGACATAGGCTGCATTTAGAATGGAAGAAAAGCCAGTTTGCAGAGCCATGGTTGGTTGAACAGATTGTGGTGAAATATAGATCGCTGAAGGCAATGCGAATCAAAAACAAGCACCGTTGGGATAAGAAGATGATTAATTTCGTACAGAAATTGGGAGCTGCATGGATGGAAGATGTTAATACTGTTTTTGTTCCAATGTTATGGGGCACCGATCATTGGGTGTGTGTGGTAATAGATCTAGTTCTGTGGAGTGTACACATTCTAGACCCGGCTCCCGACGTTGTTAGTAAGAAGAAGATGGTAGATTACATGACGCTTGTGGTAACTGCGCTACCACTAATTATCAGAAATCTTTGCCCCGCACAGCAAACGCAGTCTCGTGGCTTGGAACCTTTTGATTTGGAGAGGTTAATAGAGGCAGACATTGTGGTTGCATCAGCCGATTCTGGACCCGCTGCTCTAAAGTACATGGAAATGCATCTGTTTGGTTTTCAGTTGCATGTGCTCACTTCTCAACGTATAGAAGAAATACAGAAGGCGTATGTATTGGATATTATTTAAGACCTGGTGATTCGTACCACTTAGAATCTGAATGTGTTGATTCATATGTGAACTTGTTGTATCGTATGATTTCGTCTCTGGTCATGTCCTATTTAGATATGGTTTATTTGGAATTTGTTGTAGTATCAACTTTTAATAAATAGCAAAAGGTATATGAATGGTTTTATGAACTAATGTTTAAATGGATGTTTACTGCGACAATTATACGAGGTCTGACTTACATGGATGTCTACCATGAGAGTATGAACCAATTTTTACATGGGTGTCTACCACGACAGTTATATGTTGTTTGTGAGTCAACATTAAAAATTAATGGTAGGCTGATTAATGACACATAAGAGGCATTTAAAGGTAATAGATAATCTTTGCAGCGTAAGGTAAATATTTATGAATTTGTTCAATCGTGTTGGTATTGTAATGTGAGTAATGGTCAATAATACTTCTACATGGTTAACCATTTAGAAAGCATACATTATATCCTTTATGGTAGAGATAAAATATTCGTGGTTATTTTAGTCACACACATTACATATTTGGATGGATTGGCGTGGATGGGACTTTATCAGAAATCAATAGGGGGATTGTCTATTGCGCGACCATTCGTTACCCAGAAAGATAGAGATATGGTGCGAGATACAGATGAGACCTTTGCTGAGTTACCTAGATTCCTCTTCCTTTTGAAGGAATCTAACAGCAGTACGGTTTATAATCTGGAGACGGAAGTTGACCGGCAGAGTCGATCAAGATTTAAGAATTTGTTTTTGGCTTATGGGTCATGTCTGCGTGTGTTTGGCAAATGTAGACAGATAATCATTATTGACGGCTCCAGTCTCAAATGTGGTGGTCGAGAATACATGTTTGTTGCGGCTGGAGTAGATGCAAATAATGATCAAATTCCCTTGGCATTCGAGATTGTAGATCGAGAATCAGGTGAAACATGGAGGTGGTTCTTACGGAATTTAGGCACGGTAATTACTGATAGCCCTGAGTTGACCTTTGTGATTTCTTTAAAGAAGCATTCTTTCTGATATTTGAATATGTTGTATCCGCTAGCCGAGAAGGGTATATCAATCCGTGAACTCTGGCATTACGTTAGGAAGAGCTACAGGATACCGGGTTTGCTTGGTTATGTACAACAAGCGTCAAAGGCATTCAATTCGTGTGATTTTAAGAATGCTTACAAAGGCTTGGTTAGGAAAAACCCGCATTGTGCCGAGTTCCTTCGGGCAATAGGGTTTGAAAGATGGAGCATGAGACATTCGAAAGGTGACCGCTTTGATATTTATACTAACGAAGTATATGTGTTGCTCTTCGTCAAGGAGGAGAAGACAATCATGAATTTGATGAACCATATTAATTGGTATATGGATATTACGTTTGAAGAGAGATATAGGAAGAAAATTGAACATGACGGGGCGTTAAGTCCCTATATTGAAGAGCTTGTTAAAAAAAATCTTGAAGATGTGAATAGGTTTGCTATTACAGAAGTTCACGGCCGTGCTTGTGTAGTGCAATCCAAATCTAGTGACGTCTATAAGGTGAGCCTGGAAAAGAGGACTTGCTCTTGTGTGGTATTTCAGAAGACGATGGTACCATGTGTTCATAGTTTTCTAGCTTCACAACATTTTGGTGTTTCCTCTGATGTTATTGTGAGCAAACGCTTTAGTACTGGGCAGTGGCTGAAGACATATAATGTCCCTGTAATGCCTTTTGGAAATGTCGACGAAGATGTCCTTCCCTTGAGTGTACCGTTAATGAGATTGAAGCCTCTTATTCGAAGAACTGTTGTTGGACGACCACGTCATTATCCGGCTTTGGATGTAAGTATCGGAGGTTGACATTCAATTACTATATATATATATATATATATATATATATCATGATAAGTTTGACTGTTAACTAATAATTGACTCTATATATTAGGCTTACATCTTCGATCCAACAGAAGCTAGTAATTGTGGGCGGTGCAACGAAAGAGGTCATACCTCACTAACTTGCCTAATAGAATATGGTGTGAGCCGAGTTATTTTAAGGAGGAAAAGAGGTGTTTAATAAATCTGTACCTGAGTTGCAAAAAGAGGTGTTTTCAATTTTAGCGTTTGAAACTTTTATCAATTAATATCAACCGATAATGTGTATTATGAAGTTGCTTTGAAGAAACTTAACCATTTGGTTACTTCCATTTGGATAATTCATTGAAAGTTTCTTGCTGTTGAGGTCATTTTTTATTTAGTTTATGGAGAAATACGGAAGAGCCGTAGAAATAGGAGCATATCACGAAGTACCAAAACTTATCAATTTGGTCATATCCATCTGGACAGCCGTAGTAGTTCATAGGATTTCAACGCTTTTGTTAGTTATTAAGTAACTATCCACGATGATTTCATCCACGATGTTTCTTTCTCATCAACGCTTTAACAGGTTTTGATGTGCATTCTTCTTTCTTAGGCAATGCCGAGTTGGTCTAGTGACACCTCTTCTAAACAGCCACACGTGGTAATGTTGTTCGACCTATATACTAGTTGAAACGATTTACTAACAAAGTATATTAAATCATACTGTGTTGATATTTATTAGACGGTTTGTTCATAGGATTTCCGACTTTATTTAAAGCCATACTGTGTTGGGCAATCTCTAGTTCGTAACACAAATTTATAAAATCGAAGTACACATGTTTCATTGCACGATGTAACATTGATATTGTTAAATTTAGAGATGTGGATAGTTTCAATCCTACAAAAGAATTAAAAAAAGAAAAAACGACATAAATAATCTATTTTATATTCCTGCATGCTCGATGGTCCAACCAAGAGCAATTGAATCGAACATTGCCCTGTCTCCCAAATAAAGTTCGGCAATTTTTTCATCGTAGTACTATCCCTCACCGATCTCTGGGGCGGTTAACTTTTCATGCAGGTGAGTCAGGATCTGCAAATTGTTAAAAATGTATTAGTATAGGATGGATCTATTTTTAAGACATCTCTAATAGGAAACTACTTTAATTCGTGAACCAAACGTGAAAAGCAAAATGTTTACTCGTTTTATTGTGTAGTAGGGCGAGAAGTACTCATTTTTCAACATTTTTATAAAAATGTTGCCGTGTTCACCCACGTTTGGGTGGTACACTTTTATGTTGAAGAAAACATGCAACAAAATAACTGTTATATTTTGTGTATTGTGTTTAAACAAAGAGCTTTGCAACATAAGAACGATCAAATATAAGAACGACCTAAGGTTCCAAAAACCTGCTAGGAAAAGAAAACATAAGAACAACCAAACATACCTTCGGCGCTTTGAAGGGGTAATCAGGCGGGAAGTGAATGGTTAGTTTGAAAACTCCATTTTCGTAAAGGGAATCTTTAGGGCCCATCAGCATGGCTGTCCAATGATAGAAATTCCCATCGACCGGACATTAACAAGTATTGGAAGACAGAAGTTAGAAGAAATAAACTGTTTTACTCGATCGAATTAAAGAAACATTTACCTGCACTGAAGAGATCACTGTTTTCTCTCTCGAGTTCTCTCATCTGCCTCTCGATTGCTTTCAAAGACGACATTTTATGTTGTGTAAGAAGTTTATCGCTGTTTGTGGCAGTTGATGTTAATCAAAGAGGATGAGACTGGTATTATATAGGTGGATAGCGATTCGGAGAGTAGGAAAGGTCGGGACAGTTGACGCGTAAATATTACTTTGAACAGATGCGGTTTTTCAAAAAGAAACTTATTACTTATTTGACTGCACCATTTCCTTGTGTAGTCGTGTCCGTATCGTGTCGTTACCAAGGAATGCTGACATTAATAATGGTTGTCTTAAGTTATTAATGTGGTCAAGATATTTAATTATGAGTTATATTGATACGCGTTTGGAAATGCACACAATGGATATGGTAACATAGCCATGTTGGAAATTACATTAACTAATTATGTAGTTTTAGACATATTTAGTCCATATATATTTCTGGAAATTAACATGTTTGCTCAGATCGACCATTAATCCTATCTGTTTATTATTACTTTGTTTCTGCATATATTTGAAGGCCCAAATATGTAATTCAAAAAGTAACATTTGCAATTAAAGATGGAACGTAATATAGAAACATTTGCAAGACACGGTAGGGCAAATGATATTACAATTAAACTTTGAACGTAATTCGAATATTTAACAATACGAAAAATTGAAAATACAAAATTTCAAATAATAGTCCAACAGAAATAAATCATGGTAGTGCAAGTTAGCTGTATTCCTTATAGAGGCCACTCCAATATGAATTCCGGCATTATAAGGCAGAATTTCTTTAGTTCAAAGACCCAGACGCAGGTGTTGCAGAGTGTTTTGGTAACCCATTGATGACTATCACGCCAGAATCCTTCATTTTTCCGGCACTTGCATTTGTCTTCCCAGTCGAGAGCAAGAAGAGTGTTTTTGCGTTCTACAAAATCCGGTGGAAGCGTGTAATCCCAAGATCTAGGCCACCAAACCTGGATCGCCTGACGCATATCAACCGCCACATTGAGAACGACAATTGCTCGAAAATACCAGACTTCTCCTTGATGTTTTCTACACTAAGAAGATAAAGCATCGTCGAGCAGTATTGGGCCATTGTTGACCCCTCTTTTGCCGCATCCAGAATTATATCGTACCCCTCACCAGTCTGATGATCCTTAAAAAACACAGAGGCGCCGAACAGAAACAAGGCACTTGGATTCCCGCGTTGTAGACGGATGTTTTTGAATTCTGAAACATAATGTACGACTGTAGGGTGCCATGGATAATGCATGAAAGTGAGATTTACCCTCTTAAGGAATCCATCGCCTTAAGAAATGAAATTGAATATGCGTGACACGCTCTCGTCTTTACCAAGTCTTTGAATGAACTACTTCCAATACGTATGAGTATTTCAGTGAGTAGATTGTTAGGAAGATCAAGGATATTGGCCATCTGTGACGTAAATTTTTTTTTATTTCTTCTTTGCTCTGGTCGAGTCTTGAGATAAATGTTGATTTATATATGGGAGTTGGAGAAGACGTGGAGACGTTATGAGTAATAACAGATGAGGTGCGTCCGTTCATGGCTTTTAAGTGGAGCATTTTCCAAAGTGATTTTTGTTTTTTGTTAAGTCATCCACAGAGAGTAAGCCATGTGGTAATGATTTGGGCTATGTATGTGTTCTGTGTAAGAAATACTTTGATATCAACGTATGTTGTTAAGACTATTGTTACTTTTAATTTGAAATTCAGATTTTGGGATTTGTGTTTGTGTACTAATTTGAAGCCAGTTTCCATTATGTTTTAATTGAGTTGTTATTAATTTACTTCATTAATCGTATACCGTATATTACGTAATCACTCACAGTACAATGAATGATGTCATTTTTTAAAGTTCTAGTGAATAATTTAAATGGCCGCCTAAAAGATTATTCCAGTTTCATTGTGCGACGTTTGGATGTCCGACATTCATCCATTGTAGTGAAGCATTTTGTATCGAGAAGACAAATTAAGTGGGAAGTTGTGCCTATAGAAGTGACACTTTATCACTAGCTATTTTTGTTTGGATAGTTGGAGGTTAAGCACAAGTTAAACCAAAACCAGAGACTGACTTCTGTATAGTTGTTTGTAATGATTGTGTATTTAACTAATTAAAAAATAAACTAAAAAAAGCAGCACGATTGGAAAATCTGTTGTTTCAATAATAATGAAGCAGAGCACTCTATCGTCACAGATCTACGATGGCATGTCTAGTCTTTTGATTAACACGCGTGTAATTATGTTAATTTTTGGTATGACCAATTATACATGGATTTATAAGATTTATAATATACGACTAATAAAGTTGTATCCAAAATCGAGGTATTGATGGTTAACCGGATTAATGTTAGTTATCATCCAAATGATTGGAAGTTGTTATTTGTTGAACTTCTTTGTTGACATGAAACTATAAGTAGCATGTTTTTGTAGAACGTTTTGGAGTGATTAATGAACATTTTCTTGATCTTTTTCTTCGATAGTTGAATTTTACCAGAGATTATAAGTGGGCCGCAAGAAGAAAATTGTAGGTAACGGCTTTTCAGTTACCATTCCCCTTGACAATTAAGGAAGCAGTTAGTTAGATAAGTTAGGTGACGAATCGAGATACCGGGCAGTTGGAGGGTTTGGTCAACCTTATCAGCGTCAGAAGTCAAAAAGTGTTTACATGGAGGTATTACATCTAACACTGTATTCTTGTGAGTGTGGTGTTTGCCGAGGTCATCTCACTTGGAATCACGAATACCTGAAAGGACCAAACAATTGCCATTCCTGTTTCTGGGATCAGGGAAGTCGGAAGTTCTTTATGTACATTATGTGGACAGTGTGGGGTCATATAATGGAGGAATGGTGAAGAGCAGTAGATGTTGGAAATGGGAGGATATCTATTGTAGAATGGGGTTAAGTCTGTTGTTGTTTTGTTGGATTGCGGATACTTGAAATTTTGTTTGCTATCACTAAATCATTATTATTTTGTTGTGAATGTGTATTTGGATGTTGTTTCATTAGATCATGATTAATTTGTTGTCGATCATACCTCTGGAGTTTGAAGGCTCCAAGATTAAACAAGAGGATGTGTCTAAGAAACATTAACATACAAGATTGGCAAGGTGACGAATAAAGACTCTTCTGCTTTAAAAGGAAAACAATATAGAAGACAATCACAACGCAAAGGTTTGGGGCTTTAACAATGGACTAAACATGATCCGCCAACGTGTTACTAGGTAAAGAGCAAATAGTAAATGAAGGCCATGAAAGGTAGAAGATAAGAAAACGCCAAGATCAGGTAGATTTCACATCTGCTGGGACGTGCCTT